TTTGGTTTTACCCAAGAGCAAGTGGCCTGCGTCTGCGAGGTGCTCCAGCAAGGCGGCAACATCGAGCGGCTGGGGCGGTTCCTCTGGTCCCTCCCTGCCTGCGAGCACCTCCACAAGCACGAGAGCGTCCTGAAGGCCAAGGCCGTGGTGGCCTTCCTCCGGGGCAACTTTCGCGAGCTCTACAAGATCCTGGAGAGCCACCAGTTCTCGGCGCACAACCACCCCAAGCTGCAGCAGCTCTGGCTCAAGGCTCATTACGTGGAAGCCGAGAAACTGCGGGGCAGACCCTTGGGCGCCGTCGGCAAATACCGCGTCCGCCGAAAATTCCCTTTGCCCCGCACCATCTGGGACGGCGAGGAAACCAGTTACTGCTTCAAGGAGAAGTCGCGGGGCGTGCTGCGGGAATGGTACGCCCACAACCCCTACCCGTCCCCCCGGGAGAAGCGGGAGCTGGCGGAAGCCACCGGTCTCACCACCACCCAGGTCAGCAACTGGTTCAAGAACCGGAGGCAGCGGGACCGAGCGGCGGAGGCGAAGGAAAGGTACTTGCCACCCCCCTATCCCCTCGGCGTCCCCCCCCTTCCTTTCCCTTTTCTCCCCTCTCCCGGCCGTAGATGCAGAGGGAGCGGCGAAAACCTCTCGCTCTCTCCAAATCCTGTTTTCCCCGAACCGCCTCGCATTTTTTTCCCTTCTTCGCTTAAACCCCGGTGGGATTTCCACCCGAGATCCACAGGGCCTTCCTCCCCACCTGCCTAGGATGGGAGGGTGGGAAACAACGAGCCCCTCACCGGCCTCTCCAGGCCGCTCGGCCGCCTTTGTTTGCTGCCTGTAGCCCCGGAGCCTCCGGAGAAGCGGTCGGGATGCGGGGTTGGGAATTGCCGGGAATCGGGCAGGGTAGTTCCAAAGCCCAGAGGAGGGGAGAGATGCAGCCCGGGGGGTGGGGAGGGGAGGAACAGGAGGGACACAGGTATGGGGACGCCTTGGCCCGGGCCGAACCGTCGCCCAGTACCGAGCTCACCCCGGGGTGGTTCGGCCCGGCGAAGGAGGCAGCCACGGAGGGCATCGCCCCACTTTGTGTCTCCTCCAGCAATCTCCTCATCGAGCCTCTTCGAGGAAATCCCACACCCTGCTCGCCCCCGGGCCGCGCTTTCATTTTTCATTTCATTTTTAATGAAAAAGGGGAAAAAATTGCCCCCCTCCAAAAACCCGCCGCTTCCCTCCAGCTTTCCCCCTCACCTCAATGATCGAGCTGTGCTGTGTACACCTATTTATAGGAGGGTAAAAAGAAGTGAAACGACCCGTTATGAAAATATTAGGCACGGGTTTCTGTTTGTTTGTTTGTTTGTCTGTTTGTTTCCCCTTTGCGGGGAGAGGCATCTGCTCCCACGGTGAAATAAAACGCTAAGGATTTAAGTGGGGGCATTAGCATAGCACCCATCCCCGGCGTCTCTGGCTCGCTGTAACATCCCCGTTGTGGGTTTGTTTTTTTACCCTTGTTTTCTTTTTTCTTTTCTTTTTTTTTCCCCCCTCTTTTTCTTCCCCCCTCCCCCCTTTTTCTGCAGGGAGAACACGGAAAACAACAACGCGGCCACCAACAAACCGAACCAGCTCTCTCCTCTGGATGGAAGCAAACCCCTCATGTCCAGCTCCGAAGAAGAATTTTCTCCCCCCCAAAGCCCGGATCAGAACTCGGTCCTGCTCTTGCAGGGGAACCTCAGCCACGCCAGGAGCTCCGGCTACTCCCTGAGCGGCTTAACCGCATCCCAGCCCCCTCACAGCCTGCAGAGCCACCAGCTCCAGGACTCGCTGCTGGGACCCCTCACGTCCAGCCTGGTGGATCTGGGATCCTAAAGGCCCACCACGGTGGGCAGCCTGGAGGATCGGGAAGAGGAGGTTCTGCTCGGGGACAGAGGCTCTGGGTTGTACATAGAGGACAGCACCCGGTTTTACAGCTCACTCCCTGATTTTTGACGGGACTCTCGGCTCTTACATCAGCTCCTGGTTCAGTTCCCTCCCTCTATCACCACGATTTTTATTTTATTGTTGTTTGTTGGTTTTTTTCCCCCCTTTTTTTGTTGTTGTTCTGTTGTTGTTTATTTTTTCCACGTAGCCAAATGCAGAGAGCAGCAGAAACCCTCAGCCCTTCGAGTTCAAAAGAGCTGGTCCCAGCGGGAATTACAAAAATAATAATAATAATAAAAAGAATAATTTAAAAAAAACCTCAAAATAAATGAAAAAAAAAAAAAATACATACCCAAACCTCATCCCCAGCTGGATCCAGC